AGCTAACAGTGTTTGTTTGAAAATTAATTGCACATCCAAGTTTATTCTTACAAATAGCTTTACAAAGCAGATAATATGCATGTGAATCTTACAAATTAAAACACGATTCAGGCAAACAATGAGAAAGCAGGCCCACACAATTGGCAACTTTTGTTGGTTTTCTGACCTTTTTCAGCCCAATGAAAAAACTGACAATAGTTCCAGAAATTGTACTGAAATTTCCAGCATGCAGTTGTCGGTTAATTTGAGATTTGATTGGCCAAAGAGAGGAAACCAACGTAAATATAGCTGAATATGGCAGCACTAACACTAACATAAACATAAAATAAAAAAGACATCAAACAAAGGCAAGCAAGCCACTAGAACAGATCTCTTTCTCCTGAGTAAACTTAATTTTTTTGCACATTTAGTAAAACTGTATTTCTATCAAAACCAAAAACCTTTTTTTGATGGCTCACACAACAAAAATGATTTGACCTGTGGATTTTGTAAGAACACATTCAAATGAAGATTCTTATTTTTGTAAAGAAAACAAACACTTAAAATAATGGAAAATATTTCAAACTATGTTTTACTTAATGTATTCACATCATATGTTGGATTAGAAAAATTAAATACTATCTCTGAGGCATGAATCATTTAAACTAGAAAAGCTTCTTTCTTGTCAGTTATTTTAGAATGCCATAAGGGAAAAATGTCTGTTCTGTTGGAAAATAACCTTTTGTACCCAAAGTAATATTGTAATTTTTTTCCTATCATTTCCAAATGGAAGTATTTAGCTTTTAGAGACAGCACAAAAAAAATTAAACACTACGAGCTTGAAATTTCTTGGGGCCAAACACCCATGCAAAACAAAATATAAATTGACAACCTAAAATTACAAATCAATAGCTACTAATAAAATGAATTGAAATTGTATGTCACATAGTTACATAGGAGTGATCAATGTATTGATGGAAAGATAAATTTTGACAAGGAAAAACCATAAGGCAAATAAATTATCTGTTAGACTCCAAATTCAAACATTTAGTACACAGTTAATATTTATCTTTTTTAAATCAGATTCAAAATTCAAGCCCCAACTGATTGCAAAAGGGACAAGTACCTGCATAAGGTACTTAAGGCAAATAATACATAAAATTTTACTTTATGATAAAGTCACATCAAAATTTTACTAAGTGATTTAGTACAAAAAATCTTCTAATATTTTCATCAAAGAGAATAAAAAATCCACCAATTAGTTTCCCTGTTGACACTAATTAATAACAACACAGATACTAGAACTGAAGATGGTACCTTATGGAAGGTGATTAATTTGGAAACAATATTATTAACCAAGTCCTTAACAACTCAAATTCAAAGAGTACAAACTCAGTCAAAATCTGAAAGATGTTCCTTGCAAGAAACAGCTAACTAATCTCTGAAAAAAGAGCTCAAATGAAGCCAAATTTCTTACATCATAACTCTCAAAAAAACAGTCTGGCTCACAAAAATTTTAAACCCAACCAAGGAGAATTTCCTACGTTGTAACAAAAGAATGCTCATTGTAGAAGAGTGACAAAAATTTTCCTGTGTCAAAACCACTAGATTTTTTCTGTAAATCACCAAACCCCCCTGCCATCCAAAAAATAAAACCAAATAAATATATAAATAAATGAATGACAACTACAAAAACCATGGCTCTACCCTCAGATAAGGCAATTGAGAGAAATGATCTATAAGGGTACAAATAAAGTCTGCATTAGTTATTAAACTCCCAAAATCCAGAAAAACTCTTGGAAAACTAGGATCAAAGTTTGAAAGTGGGGGTCAGAGAAATAAGGTCCCCTACCATAGGAAATGAATGAGTATAATGGTAGAGAAATTTCACATGATGGAGTTTTCACTTCCCAATTCCTTTTCCTAATCCTTATATCCAATCCCAATTTGTATTTTCCAAAAAATCTTCATTTAAAATGTTAGAGTAGAGGACAACCTTGCTGAAGATTATGCCTCATGTTATAAAAATACCAAATTCTTATTGCCAAATAATGAAGAATTGTATAGATTTTAAGAAAAGAGAATCATTAAAGAAATGTTAAAGGGAAAATCTTTAACAGTGAGCATCCTTGTTACATAAAGAAAATTCCCCTTTAAATGGAGAGGTAGAATTTTAGATAATCATGATAATTCTTGCCTACTTCTATTGCCACATAGGTGGCTACCCATTACACAGCATGAAGCAATATTCCACGAATATTTCAAATTTACGTGGTGCTACACAAAGCACTCTCCAAAAGGAGATATAGCACAAAATAATCACTGCGAAGTGCAATGAGGCAATAAGTGAGCATATACAACTAGTTTGCTCTCACAAAAAAAAATACACTAACTGCATTAAGGTGTAAATATAGCACAATCAAACTAAATAATAAATTCTTCACCATGGTCTCAAACCATGTTAACGATAAAATTTTCACTTGTGTTAAAAAGCACCTCTTGAACCATGATCCAATTTCAGAAACGCTTCCTGGGAAATTTACGATGATTTGTTGAAAATCTTTTGAATGAATAATGCAGAGCTTCCATGAGAAAAAATTGGCATCTTTACCCCAACAGATTCACCAAAAGTGCACATAACAAGGCTGCTAACATTTGAGTTGCCAATACTTCTTTATTCAAATGCTGTGATGAACCAGAAGATTCCAAATAAACATACTATTTTTCTACACCAATTTATAATACAGACATTTGACCTAACCACTCCAGGAAACCTTACCAATTATTTTGCTATAACGAGGATGCCTTTATCTTTACACCCAAAAAATTGCTGCAACGACATTGATTTATTAAAATCAAAAGGTATGCATCATTGACCAAGCGAGAGATAAACATGGCTTAACATTTGCCAACCTCTTTGTGAGTAACTTAACAAAACCAGCATAAAGTTAAACTTAAATGAAAAACTTGATGAAAATCCAGGCATCCGAATTGAACAAGATCTCAGCACCGGTCATGTAGTACATGAACTAAGTTTATATCCCCACAGAGGCAAATGAAGCTTTTTTCCCACACTGATTGGCTAGCTCGCAAGTCATTAGTAAGCCGAGCTGCCAGTGATACAAAAATTGCAAATTAAAAAAATTTGTTTCCCACCATTTAAGGGCATAATGACACAGGTTAACTAGTTGACTGGTTTCTGTGTGGTATTAACTTGTCATTCCTCTCCATGTAGCTAAAAGTAAGGGACATTTACCTCCCCTTTAGTGACTAATTGTCACCCTAATTATTGATACCTAACCATTGTCTCCACTGCATGATTCTGTGCTCTCCTCCAGAATTTCTCCTGTAAGGTTTGATTTATTCAAAGTTGGCCCACCCTTCAATGCAGCATCATGGTGCAGATTATGCCCCAGCTCTGGCGACAAATCACAACTTTTCTTGTACCCTGACTCCTGGTCTATGTCCTTGGAAGTACTTGTATTATTGTTGGCATTTGACTGTGTTATACTGCTGTCATCAACATCGAATGGCTTGTCCCGGGATTCATGTACATGCATGTTGTGTCGCCTTAGATCACCTAAAGTCCAAGTGGCATGAGAGTATTAGTTGAGCACTTTTTGTCTACAATCTAGCTGGCTAAGCCTGCCTAGATGGGATGCTGGTCCATCCCAAGATTACCTCCTGCATTTCATCAGGTTTCTCTGACAATTTGCAGGAGCCCATTTACACCCCTAGGTGGAGAGATAAACAGTGAGAGCAAAGTGTTTTACCCAAGAAAACAACAAGACCCAGCCTGTTCTCCAACCCAGAACTCTCACTCCAGAGTCTAGCACACTGGTTATAAGGTCACTGTACCTCCTCATAATGAAGGAGACTCATTAAAAGTAAAGTCATTTTCTGAAAACAAAAATCATGACAAGGACTTAAACCTCGTAGGTATAAAAAAACATTCTCAAGTTATAAATCACTGGATATTAATTTCTTAACAACTTTAAAAAAAGTTGAGGAAACATTTTGTAATTACCCAACATGTACCTTGTACGTATAACAACATAAAGCCAACACAAGCAGAGGTCAGATATCTTCCAAATATTGAGCTAGTCCTCACCTGATCTGTTAAAAGACTTGGGACAATGGTCACATGCAAATGGGCGCTGTTCTGAGTGAGTCACAATGTGTCGTCCCAGTTTGCTTGAAGTGGCAAACGTCTTAGGGCAGTGAGGACATTTGTGTGGCTTCTCCCCTGTATGGATGTATGTGTGTGTCTTCAAAGATATTGTAGTAGCAAAACTCTTCTCACAATGCTTACAATGGTAAGGTCGCTCACCTGTGACACAACAAAAAATAGAGGCTGGAAACTAAATGAGGTTATCACAAAAAAAAAAAGGATTATAACATAACCAAAGTAAAGCACGCGCTCTGATTGGACAATTTAGCATCCCCCATTTGTCCATGGGTGTACGCTGCTGACGTGAGCAAATGCAAACACTATTTTCTGGTCATGTAAGATTTGTTTTACGCTTCTTTCGTGCTTAGCAACAATGTGTTAATGTTATGTTATAAAACAAATGGTAAACACCACAGCGTACACTATTGAGTTATGGATGCACTTGGGAGGTTTGCTCAGCACTCAAGAAGCTAGAGTTGCTCTCAGCTATCGCCTCGCGCGACTCTTACGCTTCTTTCATGCTTAGCAACCTCCTGTGTGCATCCATAACTCAATAGTGTACACTGTGGTGTTTACCATTTGTTAATTCCTGGTGAGAACAAGTACAATTAAAGGGGTGATCAGAGAAGCATGAAAAGTTTGGAAATTAGTGTTTCTCTTGAAAGAAGAAATTAGATGCTAGTCTTCCTTAGGGGATTTAATCCTTTAAATCCCAACATCCAATTGTTAATTCTCCCCTATGGCTGCTGCACATTTCCCTGTTAATTAGTGACAAGAATTTGCTGTTAAATCAAGATAACAACTTCTACCTCATAAGTTTGAGTATTCTCATTGTAACCTGTTTGTTGGATAATGTATGGATAATATAGGGAGAAGTTATATGTTAATCACTACAAGGAGTTAGATGGTTTAGGACAGAGGAGAAACTTTATGGTAGAAGATTCAAGTGATTTCCGATGCAGTAAAAAAAATTCACCATTGACTTGCTGCAGATTTTTCTAATGCGACTAGAGATGCTTAATTTTTGGCAACATTTCATTTTGCAGCATTTTTCCCACAGAAACTTCCTTAGGAAGCCTCTGGCTGTTGGGTTAAATTTCTGAGTCATCAAATGATGAAACTACACTCTCTCTTGTAGCATTCAAAATATTAGAAGAAGAAAGAAGAAAGTCTTAAGCACTCTAAATAACAAATGTGTCTAGTTACAACAATAAGGTTGAGATTGAATGTCAGCATTATCAGGCGCCTCTGGCAGCCGCTTCAGTCCATGTAACGATCTCACCTTCCCACCCATACC